GCAGCAAAGGTCTGCCCTATAGGTGTGGTGACCTGTGCCACCAAGGGGTCACACAGGAGAGTAACACAGTGCATTTGGACTTGAGAACAGCTCTCTCTGGAATGAGCTGATTCCCTCAACATGGGAGAGTCCATTTGGCGGTCCCCAAGGACTGAACATGTGCACAGACCTGGCAGCATGTACCCTGCACCTAAGAGCTGTTCTTTCGATTTTTTGCTGGTCTTTCTGCCTGGGGTGAAGTGGTGGCGCCATCCGTCCCTAACACCAAGAGTAAACATTGCCTGCAACAAAGTGTCAGCGCCCAGGGGGAAGAAATAACTTTGTTCTGTTTTCATTGCAATAACAGTGATAGAAAGTTACCTTTTAAGTAAATTTCTTAGAACCCCAAAGGGCAGCCAACTGTTATAAAAATGCAAAGCATGGGTGGCGCCTATGGCTCAAAGGGGTAGGGCGCTGGTCCCATATGCCGGAGGTGGCCGGTTCAAATCCAGCCACTCCAAAAAAAAAAAAAAAAAAAAAAAAAAAACGAAGCATGTGCTGCTCAGGGAGAGAGTAGCAAGGTGCCCTAGACTTGGGAGGGGTGATGGAAAGGGTTGAGGTGGGGGGAGGGGCAGATCTGAGAGGCTATTACACCCGAGAGCATTTGGATTGCCCAGAGAAATGCAAATTTTCAGGCCCCACCCCAAACCTGAATCAGAAGCTGTGGGGGTGGGGCCGATCTATTTTAACAAGATATCTGGCACTTTCTGCTGCAGGTCCACTGTGCTGGAGAGTTGGCTCAGCCACAAGGACGGGCTTTGGAGGGGCAGGCTAGCTAGTATGGGTGGATGTGAGGGCCAGGTGTGACTGGAGACAAGTCCCATCCCAAGAATGGAGTGAGTGGCCCCTGCTAAAAGACCACCTCCCTCCAGAGCAACGAGGTCCTGTTGGTGCATTGATAGCATTTATGAGCTTTTTTTCTGGAAGACAGTACTCAGCTTGCTGGTACTCTGTGCTAAGGGTACAGAGCATTCCCAATACTCTGGGGCCTGAGCAAGTGTCCCAAGGCTTCTTGCAAATTCCCC